TCTCCTCTCCTCTCCTCTCCTCTCCTCTCCCCTTCTCTTCGTTTTTATTGTTTGATTGAAGTTATACCCAAAAGTATAGTGAGAGCAAATATCTTTCAAAAGATGATGCTCCTGCTTTCTCCACTTGGGTCTCTTCTACTTCTGGTTGCTCATCATTAATTAATATACTATGCTGTTCACTTGTTAAAAAAACAGTTTCTACCAGCCCTGTTTAAATTTCAGTTTCCATAAGACATATAATTGATACCCTAAAAAAGGAAGAAGCCTGAATTCTTAATTATGGGGTTTGAAAGTAGAATAATAGCTAGGTGGTGGACCTATGTCATTTTTAAAACATTCTCTAGGAATTGGAGCGCCTCCCTGAGACCTCTGCAGAGTTCTACAGAGATTGGCGCAGATGTATGAAAAACAATCAGGAACGCTATCACCTCCTGCTCCAACTTGGATCCCAGAACTTGGGCCGGATCTTCCAAACAGATCTTGCCTTTGGCCTCTTAGGTGAATTTCTAATGGTGCTGAATAAAAATGCTCGCATCGAAGACTGCAATGCTATCTTGGACATCTTGGAGAATTTATCAGGCACCAAACGTTTTGGTCTAAACGTTGAACTCCTGAGTGAGAAAGAGAAAGAAAGCTGCAGGCAGTTGTTTGAAAAATTGCAAAAAATGGGAACTCCCCTTGGCGATTTTCCTGCAGTTCCACAGGTTCCAAATGAAGATGGTACAGATGTTACTGAAATCCATTGCCAAGCAGGTGAAGTAGTTGAAAGAAAAGTGTTAGAACTAATGAGCCTTTACCATATCTCCTTGATCATGTCTTGAATTTATATTAATAACTACACAGGATATGGAAATATTATAATGTAAAGGAAGGACTAGAGTGCCCATAAAAAAAGATAAAAATCATAAAAAATGAACCATATCCATCAGCTATTTTAGTATATATTGGAAATATAGAAGAGTGAATGAAGAATAGATACCTAGTCAAAGAGTCCTTGCCTCTTGCTTTTTGTCTCTGTTGCATTAAAATGTTATATCAACTTTACTTTCTCCAATCACACAGTTAAACCATTATCAATTAAAAAATATTTGCTATTTGATTTGTTTTTGCAGTACTTTTGTCATATTTCTTATGACACATCTTGACTGATCTTCTGCTTTAACTAGAAGGCTTAGTCCCTGAAGTAGCAAAGGCACAGCAAAACAGACAACTCAAATGTGGGCGTCTTTGAGCATATTTGCATAGTGTTTTTCTCTGACTGATAGGTAACCATAGCAAGCAACTCAGCTGGGATCAGAGAAGGACTTTTAATTCAGACTGCAGAAACTGAAGACAAGTATTAATCATAATCAGGATTTTATTAAGATATTTTGAGGGAATGCACTTTATTCTTTAAAACTATACAATGTCAGCGATGGTATGATAGATTGCTTGTCTCTTCTATTTCTAGATGTTCACCATAGGAATGGTCCAATTAACAGTTTGGAAGCAAGCTTTTGAGTATCTGCAATGTTCTGACATATGTCAAAGCAAAAATAGTATTATACATCCAGGCTAATATTAACTTGATTCTATATTAGTTGGGATTCCAACGAACTTAGTCTTGATAGAGAAAATAAAAAATGTGTTACTTCCCAGCAAAGCAATAAAACATTTCAATGACATCTCAAGATGTTTTACTCCAATTTAAGGAAGTTGTTTTGGATCATGGTATCAGATGGAACTGTCCATCAGATACCTATACAGTACTTAATCTTTGCCCTTTGCATTCTCTTTCATCCTTCTCATCAGAGATGCTACATATACCAGGGAGGCCTTGGCAAGTTGAGAGTGCCTACAACCCTTCACAATTAGTTTAACTAAAGATAAACATGCAGGCCATGCATTGTCAAGAAATTTGCTGTTATCAAATGATCGAATTGTTTGATCTTGTGTCATCTTGGGCACAATATTGAGGTAGAAATGATACTATAAAAAGATATTATTGTGAAAGTAGTAAAGCAGCAAAGAACCACAGATACGTTTGGACCAAGAAGATTAGACTTTGGGGCTTAGCATATCATGTAAACATAGCAAACGAGGGATGCTATATTTACCATATTCAAGAAATAAAGCTTCAGCTATAGTACATAAGTTTCTTCTATCTAGTTCAGAATTGGGGAAGCCACGTTCCTTGGATTCTACTTTGAGCTGCCTAGCCAGGCTTTGGTTCCAAGTCAGTTTAATAGCATTTAAAAAACAAAACAAAAAACCACCCATCCTGAAAACCAAAAAAATATCAGCTTTCCAGCAAACATGATTCTACCACACACTGGTATCATTGTCCCAATCTGTAGATCTCTTAGTGTTCCACAAAAGACATTGCATAAGCTTCAGCCATCAAAAGGCTATCTACACCATGAGTGCTCTAATTCGTCTTAATTGTGATTAGCACTTAATTATATAACTTCGTATGTTATGAAGTTGTATCTAGAGTATACTCTAGTAATAGAAAAATCACAAGTAATGGGGTGTAGATGGATGGGGGAAAAGAATCTCCATCTCAGTCTTCTTCCAAAAAGAATTATTTAATTCAGATGCTACATTAAATATTGCAGATACTTATATGCAATGGGGGGTGCAATTATATGGTGATCCTACATGTTGTAATGTTCCTATCATTCCACAGTTTCACTAGACTGGTAAAGGTTATAGAGCTAAAGCAGTCTAACATTACTGTGCAATTCTGACAGATGATCAGTAAAGGCTGAATAGGACTTGAAGGGGAAAGTGCATGCTCACATCAGCCTGAAATGCCAATCAGCAACTCCCTGATCCCATCTACTACTCACCTTCAACATAGCAGATGTGTGTGTTGTGTGTGTGAAACAGATTTGCACATCATGCACCTGACCAGAATTCTGTCAGTTTTAAGTGAGGGAAAGAAGTCTTTAACATTACAGTAGTAAAGCTAAAGATGCCTTATAACTCAGTCATAGGCTCATAGTCTGGGAATGTGATGAAAATTTGTCATGAGGACTTGGCAAAACAAAAACAAAAACCAAACAGGTTGCCAGGCATGTTGGTACTGTAGTTACAGTAGGTGCATTTGGGAAAATGCCTTTTGTTCCTTAACTATGTTAAACCCATTTAAAGAGTTACATAACAGTTTTTCAGTATTTCTCCCCTTAAAATAACAGGAAACCACACTGCCAGGTTTCAATAATTATGCTACAGAAATGGCAATGCAGTCTGAAGGTCTCTAACAACACAACAGCATATGGTCCTAGGTTTCTGATTACTTTAGAAAACAACAACAATGCTCCTACTCAGTATGAGGCAGCTTCATTTATACAATCAGCCATAATGGTCTACAAGGGCTTAGATGTGTCCATATCAGAACTCAGTTTGCATTCTAGAACTCACAGAGGCATTTCTAGAGTCTTTGTTTCTTATGAAAGGATAATATGCCCATACAGATACACATTGTTAAAAAGTCAGCTCCAAAAGAATTGGAACAAAACCAGCAATTCTAGAATAAAGGGTCTCCTTATTGATGGCCATAGTAAAAATGTAAACTCCAGAATTTGTAAATGGCCTCTCCTATAGGACATGGAAACTGTTGGGTGATGTGTATTTGGACAGTCATCAAATGGCTTCAGCAGGGTGGGCCGGGATAGCTATGGTCCTTGGTGCTGCTGATGTTCTTTATGCCTTTGCCATTATGGAAAAAGAAGATGTGTTCAAGAAGACTCCTTGCCCAGCTTTCTTGATGTTTGAGAATGCTGCTTACTTGGCTGATATGAGCTTTGAGTTGCCCTGTAATTGTAAGCCAGAGGAAATAACTACTGTAGTTTGGTACTTTCAAAAAAGCATGGGCAGTCAGCAAACTAAGGTCTTGACAGACTTTGATGGCACTTTGATAGTAGACTCAAGCCACATCAAGGTGGGCAGTGACATGCTCCGCCGTTTCAGCATTAGGATGTTCAGTCTCATTGTCTTCCGGGTTCAGGTGGAAGATTCAGGGCATTATATTTGTGGTACAAAGAAAGGGGATTTCTTCTATGGTTATGATATAGATGTACAGCCTTCAAGGGGCATAGCTGTTGCCTTTGCAGATGAGGGTCAGCATCCACAGAATGACCTCCATGAAGCAAATTTCACAATTTTCACCATTTTCTGGGACTGGACCAAATGCAACCGCTGTGATGTCAGAGGTGAGCAACGGAGAATTGGTCTTTGCTATGTGAGGAGTTCTTCTCTGTTCAGGCGGTACCATACCACTATAGAAGAGGTGGCATCTTGTGGCTCAAAGTCAATCCCAAAGCATTTTCTTCGTGGTATTCAGATGAGAAAACCTGAAGTTGTTATACGAAGTTGCATGGTATCTTGTAAGGGGAAGACACCCTCAAATGAAGGAGAGGCATCCATTTCAAACGTCATCTCAAAGCTTGGAGAAAAACCTTGGGTTTCCAACATCCCTATTCAATTCCACAAGCAGCCCCTTGGCAGAGGATTGATCATTGCCTGCCCTGGTGCTAGGCCAGAGCATGCTGTTGCCTGGGATAAAGATTCAACTCGATTGTACCTCACTAGATTTCTCACTGGGGTTAACAAGACCATGAGGGTCTTCATTGACCATGGAAATCACCTCCACATTCGCTTTACCCAGATGAATGACAGAGGTATTTACTACTGCTGGCGAGAAGGAGAAATAGTTGCTGGATTCCGGCTATCTGTAGTGTACAAAAGCCGCCACAGACGAAGCCTTGATGATCCTGAAACTCAGTATGCTATTAAGACTATTGTTACAAGCTATGTGTTCATCACCACCTTCTTTATCATCATTCACATTGTTCAATGTTGCCTCTATGTGTTTAAGTGTACAGCTATAGAATAGCATCTCAAGAAAATTGCCATGGGCCTAATAAGTGATGATGATGATGATTTGTCTTACAACTAATTTAATAATTAACTGATCAACTGTCTGGTTCTTTATCAATTAAGTGTTTCAGTTTAAGAACACTGCAGAACCCTCAGTGAAGGTACATTTTAGACAATCAGCTCTCTTAAATGTGAGAGCTAATATATAATGGAGTAAGCAACTATTAACAGAAGGCAAGGATGCTGTTTAATATTTTTTCATTAAACATGGGAATACAAAATTCTCTACTGTAGAATTCTCTGTTGTAATAATACGCCAATTGGTAAGCCAGTTCAAAAGCCATTTTGTGAAAAATTCAGATAGAATAGCTGTTAACTGAGCATTGTCAGTCTGAGTTGTCTGTCATTCTTACAGATAAGAAAACTGTAAGAACACCATGTTACTACAAATGCTTTGCCTGCTGAAAGTGTCAGTTTCATCCTGCAGACATTAGCATCTCAAATTTGGAAAGGACTTTAGGTGGCCAGGAGGAAATCTTTTTGCTGAGTCCTGAGAGCTGCTGCCATTCTGACAGGCATTACTACGGCAAGGTGGGCCAAAGTTTTGAACTAGTATAGGTTCAAAAATACTTGAACAATACACATATATTGCAAATCTGTAGCAGTCACACACAGGGCAATCATTCTGTTGACAGCTGAAGGTAGGTGGGTAATTCACTTCTCAACCAGTTTAATTGGTGTAAGGCAGAACGAGCAATTGATTTTGTGCAGCTTTCATCCCAAAAGGAACTTCTGCATTTTGTTTTTATATACATATTTCTATCTGTGTCATATATTTTCTTGTCTCCTTGGTGAGCCACTATGAGAATACTTTGGAGAGTAGGATATAAAGACATCAAACAAAGAGAATAAGCAATGAGAAACTAGAGGAGAAACAATGTTATAATGTAATGTTTAATTGTAAAAGAAAGAAGATAATAAACAAGAGTGCAATTTTAAATAATGCCATTGCTGCAGCTTCATTATACTTTTAGTTTCTGTTAAGCATTTACGTATAATCTCCTATAAAAACTATCATTGGAAGTTCATCTATTAATAGAAATATACAAGCAGGTTTGAGAGGCTAGCATACAAAGCAGAGCATCAAACTTACAGAGGAGTATTTTGGCACAGTGATTCCAAAAAGGAAAATATCTGAAATATTAATTGGTCATATAATTTAGTCATATCTATATGACCCACATTACTGGTGTTAGTACAGCTAGTTTTACTGGAAAATAGAAAGATAAGTTGCATGTAACTGCTTTGTGGTGGAAAACAATGAATTCCACCATGAGTTGCTCTCCTCTGTTGGAGGCACTGATCATTTCAGACTCCTACTTCTCCCTACTTCTACTTTTTAAAAGGAAAATCAAAGCTAACCCATTTCTTCCACAGTTACAGCTACTAATTTAAACATAGGACGCTGGAGGAAGGAAAGAGGCTGAGCTAAACATCATTCAGTTTTCTGCTCTAAAGAACCACTAAACACAACAACACAACAAATGTCATATAGTCCATGCATAGGTGCATGCAATGCAGGGAGTCAAAAGTGAAAAATGCAATTAGCAGCATTTGTATAAGTAACAATACTTATAAGTGACAATGTGCACACAGCCATATAACTTGTCATATAAGAAATGTATGTCTCCAAATTTATGCTTTCCATTAAGCAGGCTGACATCTTGAAATTATAATTGGACATGCGATTGATTTAACACGGGTGGAAAAATCCAGCCACTCTTGGAAAACCCTTCCCCTCAAATTCTGTTCCTCTTATTTAGTTGCTGAAGAAAAGAGAAATAAATGCCTCAGTGCTTCTTATAGGCATGCTGTGTGAAAGACTTGTTTGTTGCCATTCTTCTTTCCTTGTTAACACACCGTAAGAAACCCCCTAACTTCTGTTACCTGCTTACTTGTATCTTTTTCTGCTATGCAACTGAATTCTGCTACGCTTTAAGCTGAAGCTGTGGACTTCCCAAAATTGAAACCCTCCTACCCATACGTATTCACCAAGAGAATAAATATTTGATAAAGTATAACCATCTGAGCCTTCAGAATGAAGTGGACTGTCATTTAGGGCTAGGGTAGGCATTAGGCATACTTCCTAGGGAAGCTGGAAATTTGTCATTCAGTGACATCTGAAGTGCCATAGGTCGCCTAACCCTGATTTATAGCAATTGCTTCAATATTTGAAAGCAATCTTTTCAATTTTCTAATTTTTTTATTTCTTTTTGCTGGCTTGGTTAAACCATACGCCAAATTCCTTCAAGCATCTTTCCCCTAGATCTCTAATCTTACAGGCATCTTGTCACTGCCCTTCTTGAACACCTAACCTTTCCTCCTCTGTCTTCCTCTCTTCTGCCACTTTGCCTTTTGGTCTCATTCCCATCAGTCCTCTTTATCACCCACTGCACATCATCCACGAGATTAAAATTGCGTCCCCCTTTTTACTTGGATCATAACGCATACAATTTGATGAATATAAATTACAGTGTCATCAATTTGGAAGGTACTAAAAGCTATAGGAAATCAGTATTCTGTGAAGTTTTAATGCTGGATTATAAATGTGGAGATACAGTTTCAAATACTCAATTTGGTTAGTATCTTTCAGCCTAATCTACAGCACAGGATTGCTTGGATAAAAGAATGGGAAGAGTCATCTAAACATCGTAACTCCTTAAAAGAAAACTGGATATCAATTGGAGCTAGGGGGCAGGCAATTCCATCTTACATTTACTGCCAGCTGGCATCTGGATTTAAACCCATATCATCATTCACAGGAGAGATGCTTTTCAGTCATGTACCACAGGCACATCCCTCGTTTCACCCCTCCTGGAGATGAAAAAGCTTTGTTCTTTTAAAAATATTAAGGCAGAACTCCAAGGATCAGAGGAGCAAGGAACCAAGAACAAAGACTGAGAACAGAAATGGAACTCATTCCATTTCCCTAGCATTTCAGAATTAATTGAGTGGAGGGAAGTCCAGGAACAATTGAGACAGAGGGAAATAGTGATCTCTGAAATAATAGGTATTTATTATTTAGCCCTTAACTGCATGCCTCAGTGCTACCGGGCCAGAAGGTGGTGCTATAGAATTATTTCATTTTTTTCCTCATTTTTTTCTCTCTTATTTTGCCAGAAAGGCAACACAGGGTTGTGGAACCCTACCTCTCTCACATGCTGGGATTAGAGAGAGGATACCAGGTAAGGTGACCCCTTAGAACAGGGTTCCTCAACCTCAGCAACTTTAAGATGGGTGGACTTCAACTCCCAGAATTCCCCAGCCAGCCAAGGAAGGGGGCTGAGCTAAGACATGTAGACTCAGAGGGCTTCTGGGAGAAGGAGTTTGAGACCTCCAAATTTTCACTCTATAGGCTCAGTTATTTCCATACATAAATGACACATGTAACACATGTATTTAATCTGGAATACTTCTATCCATCACAACCAGTAAACTAGCACACAAGATGATAGAGAGAAGGCACAGGGGAACTGAAGGAATACAGATTTCAGCCACTAGCAAAGTTTTACTGGAATTCCTCTCAAACTACATGGCAGTCAAAGGTGAACAAAATTAACCAACTATGAGGGCAAAACTAGATACAAAATAAATGGATGTAAATAGCTAAAAACATTGTTAATTGCTTATTGATGTATGAGAATTAATTTTAAAAAGGAAGGGAGATTCCCTTGTAAGTTGCCTTGTGCTCTTGGAAGAAAGGCAAGATGTAATCTAACAAATAAATAAAATAAATCCTCTATTGTCGGAAGTAAGCAGGATTGGGACCACAAATGGATTATTTTTTAAAATAAAACCTGCCTCCTGCTCACCATGGTCCCCTCTTGAAGAGGTACAGGAAGCCCAGGTGGGAATCTCTGTTTATTTTCCCTAGGAAAGAAACTTTAACATCTACAACACAGCTAAAATTTCAGCATGGGTGATTTTCATTGTAAACTCATAGTAGAATATTTTGCAACTTAAATTTCAGTCTGTTATACATTTCTTAAAATCATGGATGTTTTGCCAGAAAATGGGAGTAAACCTAACACAAAAGCCAAGTTGCGAGTGTCTCAAGCATCAATTCCCTTTTCACAGTCAAGTAAGTCTATCTGAATTCCTTACTAAGAAATAATAGATCTAAGCTTTACAATCTATGACATATATTTTCATTAAAGAAGCTCACTTCTGAATTACAGCCCTTTTAGGTCAATGGTTCTATTTCTCACATATAAACACACCCAGCACCTTCCTGTAATCAGCAATAACATGGATCCTATTCATTCATTGGTTTTAATGAGAAGCATCAAGCTGTGGTTAAGCCAGCCCAGAATGATTATTTAGACAAAACATAGCCAGGTGTAAACACTGCGCTATTGGGGACACTTTAAAGGTCACTGCGACAGGAGCACTCAAGATGAAAGTAAACTCAAAAAGCCATTATAGTCAGCTGAAGCACCAGCTACCCAGTAATTTGGTTATTTTCTGGCATGGTAATTAAATTTGCATATTTTTTATCCTCAATGGTAGCTGCAGGTCCAGAACTGCTTCTGCACTGAGGCACTGAAGGTTGGAAGGACGCAAAGCTCTCTTAGCATTCTAAGCTACATTCTTCCATGTTCCGAGACATGGTTTTTACTTCATGCCAATTCCTTCTGTTCCTGGGTGGACTCCTTGATCACCTAGAGAGTGTGGAGAGAATGTGAAAGTTGCATCACTTGGTGTTTAACCTATAATTGCCATATTTCTGTTCATTTTGACCAGGCATATGCTTCATTTTACATTTTTTTAAAAATCAAAATACTTCTCTACCAACTCTATAAACAGAGTCTAAAATGTGATTGGTTTTCACCCAGTTTTTAACACAATACTAAGGCGAAAATAGAAATTAAGCAATTAATTTGGCTCTTGTTATTGCAATTAATACCTTCGTGTATTAATTTAGCTAATGGTTTGCAATATACAAACCTGTAGGAGCCGAAAAACGTAATAGCAGGGGACAGGTATCACATGCAAAAAGAAAATTTTAGCCAAGGAAGATTTAAACTAACTGTAGTCTACCTTATAAAACACAAGAGGGCACCTGAGATTTTACCCAACTCCACTCAGCAAAAAAGGCTAATAAGATGGGGGAATTCTCTCTTAGCCATTTACATTGTCATTTGGTTCCCTTTTATTTGTTTGGCCTTTTTTAAAGTAAATGTGAATCTTGGTAGTCAAGGTCTCCCCACCGTTTTCTTGATTAAGATTCTTCCCTCAGCTCTGGTTTTTTCCTGTTGGGTGAATGAGAAGTTTGTAAAGCACTTTCAATGGGGAATTTGGCCTTAGCTAAAAGAGCCAGTAAACCTCTTCTCATAAGCTTTAGGTTCAAATTTCTTCCTCTATACTTTTGTGTGCATTTTCAGAAAAGCCCTGGAAGATCCTGCTATTGATTTCAGAACAGCATCATAGGCTTTTCCACATGCAAGGGCTGCATTTAAGAAGACAGGCTGGTGCCACAGGACTTCCAGAAGACTGGAATCTCTGCACTTCAGCTCCTGCTCTATTGGAAACACTGCAAAGACTGATTTGCAATATTTCCTTGATCTGCTGGGTGGGCTGTTTCCTGGCTCCTCAGGTTTTGCCTCCCCAAGAAAGGTACAGTGATGTCTTGCTGCTAATGCCCCACCCCTGCTTTCTAGCTGTTCTGAGAGGCACCTTTGCCATGGCTTCCAATGATCTGTTTTAGTTTATTGGCAATTTTAAGGAGGGGAAGTGTTTCACCACACAGTGGTATAACAGTGCTGCTTATGGTTGGCAGGCAAAGCAAGTGCTGTGTGGAAGGGGGCATATCTAGTTTGGCCTAAGAGGTATTTCAGGCAAGGCAACTTCCTGAAAAAGTACTCAAATTGTAGAAAGTGATTGGCACATAGAAGTGGCATTCTAGCTGGTACAGTGTCGTGATTAGGCAGCCTTCACATGGGGCCTTTATGTCAGTTTATCACCTCCAGAATTATCCACTCTCACACAGTTGATTATGGTGAGAAACTAAGTCAATGTCTTGCTGCCTCAGCAAAGGCAGCCTTTTCACTCAGCATTACAGCTCTGTTGAGCTTAGGGGTGACCCATTCTCAACTGGCAGAGACTCATCTTATTCTGCTTCTCATCTTTTGTCCTCCACCACCAGAAGTTCAGCAGCTGTAGCACTGTTCTCAGCATGCTGAGGTGGATGGAAGTGAAGATTTCAAACTGCTCTTGAGGTACTGGGGAATGGAAATGACACAGTAGGTAGGACACTTGTGGAACAATGCTTCTAAGCTACAAAATAGGAAGTGTTTCTTTGGAGTGAACCACCAGATTCAGATGAAGTTGATTTATAAGGTGTTTGAAAGATTGTAATATACATGAAACTCATTGTGCACTCCTAAAGATGATTATGACGATGATGATTCTAGTAGAATAGTTTCTGCATGCTGATTCAAAATGATCAGACTCAGGAGGTAAGGCAGAAGAGTTTATTCATACTGTGCCATCTGCTGCTCATCATATAAATCAAGGATCAATTATTCTTTCCCAAGTGGCTAAGCACCTCTCTATGGTGAAAAAACTCACTTTGATAACATTACAGAATTCAGATTTCCAGAGAAAGAAATGGTGGACTGAAGACAGCTCTGCAAAAAGCGGAGCTGATGACTATGGCAAAGAACGAAAACCAGTGAGTAGCCTGGCTCTGAATCTCTCCGAATGGAGAGGACAGGAGATCACCCACATGCTCCAGACAGTTGCTCATTGCAAGGAGACAGCAAGAGAGCAGTCTTTGGTGGGTTTTGAGCACTAGGAGATGAGGGAATAGCCATTTTGCTCAAATTGCAGTCAGTACCTTTAAAAGGGCCCTAGGTTTGCATACTTCCTTTTCTAATCACATTCAGAAATTGCTTATTAACGACTTTTCAGCTGTTAGAAACCTTTGGATTGACAAGTCTGAAAACACTGGGTGAGTCTACCTTCGATCCTTAATGAAAGAAAATTTTAACTACAAGCTTAAGAACTTTTAAAAAATTGAAAAAACAGCAAAAAGCTAATTAAGACTTTGATTTTAGAAAGTGATAAATGGATTAAAGGTCCAGATAAATTTGAAATCAGATTTTGCAATTAATTATAAAGAATCCTTCCCATGGGAAAGTTGACTTGCATAATTTTTTTTCTATGACATAAAAAGATAAACAGTTTTAAAAAATTGGACACTAGAGGGAACTAAAGATTTTAATTAAAGGAGAAGAATACAGAAACCTGATTAACAGCTACAGAATGACACAAAATATTATAACATTGGAAATACTGAAGGATATTTTTGAAAAATGGAATCAGAAGTTAATATCAACAATGTCAATAGCAATGTTTGCTTCTTTGGATGGATTGTGTCCAAAAGATGTTTTGGAAGAAATGGCAGAAGAGGAACAAGTTTTATCTAACAAGACAGAGACTGAGTTGGCACTGAAAGCGGATCTACAAATGACAGGCTACAAGAATGAGATGGAAAAAGATATTTCATTGGGCATACAAAAGGAATCGGTTGATGCTTTAAAAATCAAAAGGGAATTACAAATAATAAACCAAGAGAGTGACCTAGATA